AAAAAAAAAATCAGGATTATTTATTTCCTCTGGCAGCGAGTTTCTCATTGAATCAAAACAGTTTGAGTTGAAATCATGACAGTGTTTTATCAGTTACCAATTTTATAGACTTAAAAAGGGGAATAGGAAAGGGAAATAGAGGAAAATGCTTCTGGTTTATAAGGTAATTTCGTTTTTACAACACTGCCTATTTTAAATAATGAATCAAGTTTAATTATCACAACAAAATGAGAAGATGACAGCCAGAGACAGGCTGTTAAATTTGTATGGATTTCTAGCTGGTGAAGTTACTTGTTGGGCTCTTTTCAAGGAACTGCTCATGGGTTTTGACAGCTTCATTCAAACCAAAAAGGAGTGTGTTGCCTTCCCTCCTCTACCTCCCTTGGAAAAATCCCAGTCTTTGCTGTATAGCTTCTGGTGGTGCCGTGACTAAAATCCATCCCGTCTTGCTTTGATAAATTTCCCTTTTCTTCCTCGTTCATTAGCATTCCCTGAGTATAAAACCTGTGGATCTCTTGTATGAGATTCCTGCTTGTCCTTTCACATTGTCTTCAGGGCTGCATCTGCAGCTTGCCCTTCATCTCCAATACAAGTCTGTTAAAAACAAAAAGCTTGCAGCACCTTCTGCAAGTAAGCAGTCTTGAAGGTGTCTCCAGGTGGGCTTTGCTTGCCCAGCTGTGGCCTTTCCCAGCAGGATGAAGGAAAACAGCTCGCCTTTTGCAGGAGCTCTGGTATCTCTGCGGCAGCTGTTCCTCCTTGGATAGCCTTGCCAGCACCACACTGGCATCCTGAGCAGGGAGGCTTGGCAAAATAAGCAAGCGCGGTGTGGCTAACCAACCGTGCTAGAGCTTGGCAGGGACCAAGAAGGCTGCTGTTGAGTAGCCGGATATGGCCGTGTTTCCAGTGGCCCGTGTAGATCACCATCTGCTTTGGGCTACATTGAGCATCTCACTTAGGTGTGATTTGGATGCCCAAGCTTAGGTTTCACTGTTGCCAAATAGCTGATGGGGAGAGGCGGGTGCACGCAGAGGAAAGATTCGGCGTCTGAGTTGAGTACCTAAGTAGTGTGAATACCCCAGTGCGTGTCTCTTTTTAGGACTTAGGGCTAGTAATATAGGGGCAGTGGGGTGAGGAGGGGGAATCTTGCCCCTGGTGAAGCCAACAGTGACTTGGGCAGAGCGAAGATTTGCAGCTCCCTTCACAGGAAGAGCAAGGAGAGCACCAGAGGCAATGCCCTGGGGTAGAGTGCTCCTCCTGTTGGGTTTGAGCCAGCCCCGTGTCTTGTCCTCCTGTGCAGGTGGCTGCATCCCAACACAGACCCCTTGAGGTGAGGTGGGAGTGCTCAAAACAAATCCCCATTTTCCCAGTTCTTTGGGTGCTGCTGCAAATGGTCCCCGTGTACTTTTTGGCACATGAGCAACGGGGCATCTCTTTTCAGCCTAGAGAGTAGTAGAGAGCAGGATGATTGATAATACTGTTTTTACCATGTGTTTTTCTCACTTTACAAACCAGGACCCCCCTCTGCTCCTCGGAGTGCCATCTCAAATGTTAACGAGACTAGTGTCTTTCTGGAATGGATTCCCCCTGCTGATACTGGTGGAAGGAAAGATGTGTCTTATTATATTGCATGCAAGAAGTGCAACTCACACTCAGGTCTGTGTGAGGCATGTGGCGGTCATGTCAGGTACCTCCCCCAGCAAACCGGCCTGAAAAACACCTCTGTCATGATGGTGGATCTGCTTGCTCATACAAACTATACCTTTGAAATTGAGGCAGTGAATGGAGTGTCCGACCAGAACCCCGGAGCCCGGCAGTTTGTGTCTGTAAATGTAACCACAAACCAGGCAGGTAAGTGGATCTTCAACCTGGGGAAATGTCTGGGGTGGGAGTCCGAGCCAGTCAGACCCGCTGCAGACCTCCCTTTGAAATGGGTGGAAGTCCCCAGCATGGAGGGCTGGACTGTGGCCTCTTCAAATATGTTGGGGGGGGTGGTTGTGTCTCATAGGTTATAATTACTGCAGTCTTCAACATGTTTCCTTCCAGCAGGACACACTTTTAGGATTTGTGGCTTTTTCCTTTTACACTAAGCTACTTTGGGATCCCTCCACTTCTTTGCGTTTTGGTGTATCCACCCACTAAACCAGAAAGAAAACAGTTGCCTCTCCTGTTGGGAAAGGGAAGTTTCTAAGAGTTCGTTTCAATTCCAAATGCCAATGGTTAAAACATCCTAACTTTGCAAACAGTTACCCTAAGAAAATTGTTTTGAGTGACTTTAGGAAATCTAATCCCTCTTCTGCACTGTGACTGGACTCAGGCTGGTGAGATACGGTACGTTGTCACTGCTTCTCCAACAAGGTAGGGCTGAGATACCATTGCATACTGTGTCCTTACTGGTTTTGCACTGTACAGGCAGAGATCATGTAGACTGGTTTGTTCCTTTGTCCAGGGCTCAGATCTGTCTGCCCTTCCTTTGCCCAGTGGTTGAAAAGAGCTTGGATGCAGGCAGGGAGTTGCTGTTGTCCCGTGTCATTTGGAGGTGTGATGGGAGGCAAAAACAGGATTACATCTCCTTCCATGCACATCAACACACCAGGCACATCAAATGGCTTCTGTAAGCCCTGGAGACCTTTCTGTCCGTCTTCTCTTGTCCCTCATGCTCTGTGTTTTAGGATCTCTCCCTTTGCCTACCTAGCTTGCTTCCTGCCATTTATTTCAGGGCTCCCCAGTGGCACTTGTCTGCTGTGGAACCCTTCCAGGAATGTGAACTGATGGCATTTGGGACTGTGTTGCCAGATCACCGGAGCCACCCCTTGCCTTCTCCTTACAGACAAGGCTTAGTCAGGAAACCTGGTGCGGTATGCAGCGTAACAGCTAGATGGAGATTGGCAGATCCTCACCGTGGAGCAGAAAAATGCTAGCTGGAGCAGGGCTGCACTTCATTCCTGCTACCCAGGTGTACATGCGCGGGCTTGGCAACCAGCAGCAAGAGAGTGCGATTGCATCGCACTTCATCAGATACCTGTCCTGGTAATTAGACTGGATTGTTGAAGTGTTGGACAAATTGTTTGGATATATCTCAAGGAGAGGAAATAAAACCATGCTGGGGTTGCTGCTGATGGATGTGGCAGGAAATCTTCTGGAGGAACATCAGTGGATGGCAGTACGACACCTGTTGAAGGCACCTGTTTAATGCAGATCAGTGGGTATCATGGTCCTAATGCTGTTTACTGTTTTCCCGTTGTGAAGGCTGCTGCCAGTAACTGCTGGAAAAAGTATATTTTCCTATTAGTGGGTTTGCATTAGTATTTCATTGCTGGCATTGGATTTTCCCTGATATCAGAGTTAAATCCACATAAACCTCAGTAAATGTAGCTGCACGAGAGGAGATGATACATTGCTGATCAGTGCAGACTGTGAGGAAAGGGTCCTGGTTTGTGAGTTGTGTCCCAGACTCACCGTAGTTGCAGCAGGATTTATCCATGTAGCTGCCTTCCTGTGCATCAGGCCAAGAATAACCCCCTTGCATAGTTACCACCTCCAGCCTTGTATTGAAAGGTCCATTACAGGAAATGGTAGACCTGTGACGAATGTGGTTCATGCTGCGGACAAGTGCACAAGTGTAGCTTCTGTTTCAGTCTCACTGTTCACCCTGGTGGAGCCGCAATCAAGGGAGATACTAATGGATCAAGCCATGAGTGTTTAATTCACTGTGTGGTGTTGAAATTGCATCTGTATGCTCTCGTGTTTGATTCAACAGCAGGTTGAATCAAACCTCTGTCCAAAGCAAGGAGTGGTGACTGTATTTTGTTGTCTCTCTGGCTGCTCCCACCGCTTGTTCAGGAGGAGAACCAGGCCTGTCTGCTGGAGCTGTAGCATCAAACGTGCTTCCCAGTAATGTGCTCTTTCGGCACTCCCAGGGGTGATCATCGGTTTGTCCATGCCGGAAATAAAGCAGCTGTAGAGGGGGACTTTGCAAATGAGACTAGCTGCCAAGCATGGAAAGTGGATATCTGTTTTCTTAAGGTGCCTCCGAAAAATGTCCTTTGAGGCAAGTAATGGAGGTGTGCGGGTGGAGTGGTCCACGCCTGGCCATGCCCAAAGATGCTGGATATCTCTGAAAAATCCTCTCTCAAATAAGAGCAGGCAGGGCACATGGGGCTTCAGGGAGTCTCAAAGCACTCATCTTCCCCCTGAAATTACCAGCAAGACATGCAGCTCTGGAGCTTCATCCTTTCCCTCACACAGGTTTTCTGATGGTATAATTATATTTTCATGAAGGCTGTTGTAATGAAGTTGAGTCACTAAAAGTAGTGACACAAGGCCAACTGCAGCAGTAGGAGAAATCCTGCTACAAGAACTGCTGGCTGCGGAAATTGAAAAAAATGCATGCTGTGGGATAGGTCTGGCTGCTGGAATCCCGCTGGCAGGTATTCACTAACCCAGCACTGCAGAGAAATGCCAGTGTTTTGTTGGTTTGGCTTTTGTCCCTCCCGAAAAGACCGTGCTAATTTCAGGACTGCAGAGAATGCACAGGCAGTGGGGTGCTGGGCACACCACCTCTTCTGTGCATGGGAGCTTTTGGCAGCAGAAACTACCTCTGGTTGGGGCTCTCAAAGGGATTGCTTCCTGAAAAAAAATGTGGTTTTCTCCAAAATAATTTGTCCCCCTTCCTCTCTCCCTGTTTTAAAATAACGAGAAAAAGAATTGGCACTGGCAATCAGTCTGGCATTTTCAGAATGATGTAATTTTCCTCTGAACTTTTGAAATCAAATTTTGAAATACAGCAAGGAAACAGTAAAGTTTTGTGCACAAGAGGAGGCAGATCAGCTAATCTCAGCTGGTGATTCCAGCATGCTTCTGCTCCCCCAGTCCCTGGGGACCTGACAGTACTTAAGATGGGACCACTCCATGTGGGACGCAGTGGCCTTAGGCTTCAGATACAGGACTAGTTCCCCTGTCACCCTCTTGCAATCCCCAAACCTCCGTTGTTTCTGTGGGATTTTGCAGATGTTTTCTGCTGCAAAACATGTATCTAGAAAGGGTGAGCAATGCCACAAACCAGGGGAGGTGGAAAGTGTGCTGGCCTCCATCGTGACTACCCTAGAGCTGCTGCAGGCAAACAGAGGACATTATTCCCTTCGTAGGCACATGGGTTGGCCAAAGCATGGTTCTCCCCTATGGGATTGCTGCAGAATACATGCCCAAGGGACTTCCCAGCACAGATGGCAGGGAGCCATCTGTAATGCACTCTCACAGTGCATTAAAAAGTGTGCCTCATGCACGTGGGCTGGAGCCCAGTGAATAATTCATAAGTGGCAATGATAGGATTGAGTTAGCCATCCTTGTCTTGTTGATGGTTTTGCTCAAGTTTTCATACTTTTGAAACTGCCACCTAATGCCCCTTTTTAGGTGGTTTCCAGAGAGCAGTCTGCATGTGCCACTAATATTGAAGTTTGCTTTTCAAGTGTCAACCACATGACATTTTTTTTTCTCAGCGATTTCACCAGGTTGGATGATTAAGTAACGCTGTCACTCTAGACAGAGATGTGCATCTCCCTTGAGGTCTTTCATCTTATCTGCCCTGTATACAGAAAGCACCTACCATGATGTCTTGGTCAGAGATGTGTGTTTTGTAATGGGTCCGTAGGGAGCAAGCAGTTGTGATTAATGGTTGCTGCACGCCCGTTGTATCATTGTAGGAGCACACCGGGAAGTTGCAATGTTTAAAACCTTTCTAGGCTTAAAACCTGCCAAGAGTATTCACTTTAAGCCAGCCTAAACAGCTGAGCAATTTTCTTTGCTTTTTGTTTCCAGCATCTCCCATGCTGAGCATGGCTTCAGGCACAGAGCTGGTCTGGAGGTGGGGGGTGTGAGAGCGGGGCGGTTCTCCTGCTGGCATCCCAAATGCCGCAGACTCCTTTGTGCTTAAAGACCTTCTCTATGTGTGTTTTCAGATACGCCCTGTGCCTGTTTTCCGTTTGAAAAGTCGGAAGCCAGCGTTCAATCCCCTTCTGTGACCTGTATGATATTTTTGAGCCTTTTGGGGGAGAAGGGGAAGAAAGATCCAGATGTACTTGCTAACAGAGGAGGAGTTAACATGTCTAATGCCCCAAGGAGTCTGCATGCCTGAGGCCAAACCAGAGATACAAGTTGCATCCTGTGGTGTAGCAACGCTATTTAGGCAAAGGTGTTGGAGGACAGGACCTGGCAACCCGTACGGCTGCCTGGGAGGCACGGCTAGGTTCTTGCTTGACCAAAAAACTACTAGATGCTTGGAGCAGCTGGAAAGCTCTTGGAGCAGGGAGGTGTGCTGGGAGCAGTAATCCTCACTCTGTGCAGGCTGGGATGCTGTGGTTGGGGGTAGTAAGGGAGAAGGTGTTTTCCTTAGCACTCGGGATGTACCAGTCTTTGAAAAGCAGCCAAGGGTGAGTTGGAAAGGGAAACCTGCAACGTAGAGCTTATTGCAATCTTATGCCAGCAGCTGCATGCTCTGGAAACCGATAGACTGCAGCCCTGCACAGTCTGAGAAGAAAACATCAGAAAATGAGGCGAGAAGATGGCTGTGCTTGGGAAGCATGTTTTTTAGAGATTGCCTTTGGGAATGGACTGGTTCAAGTCCTGTAAGGTTCAGGGTCTGATTCTCACAACTTTTGAGTCTTACAGGCTTGTTTGGTTTCACTTGAGGAGGGGGGCAGCTTGCTTATTTTCTTTAGGAATAACAAAAAATTTCCAAGAGGATGCTCCAGTAGATGCAGCATGTTGCACGCATCTCACATGAGAAGCAAGACTGGTTTTGCAGCTCCACTTTTCAATCGGAACTGCTGACCTGGGGCCTGCGAAAGCTTAAG